AGGCCAGTCCAGGTCAGGCCCTCGCTTCTCATACTTGGACTATTAAAATAACATTTTATCCTCCCAGCATCTAGTGTTTTTCCTTATAATTCATTTTATCACTGAGAAAGATGAAAATGTACCTTTCTAAAGCACAGTTTAAATCACTAGTAACTCTTCAAAACTTCTTCAGTTACTCCTCCTGGCTCTCAATCAAATATATATTTCCTGGCTTGGCACTCAAGACCCGAGTAATTTGCTAGCTGGGCACCCACAGCCCTTCAGTGTCTATTCTGATTCTGATGTACACATTTCCACAGTTCAACCTTCTCGACTCTTCTTCAAACTTCCCTTTATATGTGGATCTCGCCAGGCACACGTCTTTTTCATTCAAATTTTACATATTCTTCAAAAACTACCTTCTCAACAAACATTGCTTCCTCAACAAAACCTTTCTCCATCACCCTGACGTGATGTCACATCCCGTTTCTCTAATCCTTGGCTGTGAGGACAGCTCCATAAAATTTGCAGAAGGTCATGTAGAAATAGCACAGATATGGAAATGTATAGTCATCAGATAAAAAGATGACAGAATACTCTACGAGATGAATTATCTTCACATTGCCATTAAGGAAAGAACAAGGTACGATTTCCCATAGGTTTATATCCTCGACCAAACCACCAGGGAAGGAGCACGGCATTTGAAAGGTAGGAATTCTAACTGTACATTTAAATAAGTATGAATTATTACACCTCAGTTTTAAAATCCAAAATCCACGTTATCCACAATTGCCGTCCAATGCCCTAGCCATATCACCCTCAACTCTGCCTGCCTCTGCTACCTTTGTCCCCTACTTACCTCATACGCATCTTTGATGTTCAGGGGCTCACCCAGTGCTGCCACATGCCCCACAATGCCTTTGTTCCACTCTAGGCGTATACAGTTGTTGGAAGCTTCTTCTAGTGTTGAACCTTCAGCAACATCAAAGAGGCGGCTGATCAGAAACTTGTCATTAGAGCTGTCCTCACAGACAAGGAACAGGGAATAGCGGTCAGCAGAGATAAGTCCGTGGATATGCAAGAAAATTTTGTGACACAAGGCTGTGACATCCAAATGACTAGAAATGTCTTTCACTAATTCCAAGAGTCTTGAGCACTGGTCCCCTTCATTACTATCAAACCTTGTGGGGGTTAGAGGCATCTGCTCCTTCTTTTCTGAGTCCAAAAGGAAGCTCACAGTTCCCTCAGAATCCTTGACCACAATGGGTCTGAGGGGCCGGTCAAACTCTGAGGCAGAAATTTTCCTGGTTGGTGTGCCAGGGGCACTGCTCTCTGCACGAGGACTCTGGGGCAAAGGGCAAGGACAAGACTCGGTGTGGCTTCGAACGCCTTCCTTGCACACAGGGATGGAGTGAACTCTCTCAGCAAACCATGCATTGACCATTTCTCTGCAGAACAGAACATGCAGACACATAAGTTACTTGAGGAGGAAGAGTCTACCCTGAAAGCTGCCCAAAATCCTTCTAGTGCAGGGGTATAGTCACTCCATACTTAGGAGCTGTAGAAAAATAACATTATCATCTCGGTAGATGGCAATTTGTTTATCCAACAAATTTTAAAATGCATCTAGCCTTTGTTTAAAGTTCCTTTTCCATGTGGCAAAGGAAACACAAGAGCACTCACCACAGTACTGTTTCTACAGCAAAGCTAAGCAGCAATATAATACCACTAAAAGATGCTGACAGATACATCATGGTGCATTTATACAGTGAGAAAAACAATGGTTATAGGTACCAAGTGGTATAGGGTGTGCTGACCATGTGCAAGGCCCTGGGTTCATGTGAACATGTCTGATGTAAGGGTATAAAGGAACAGATGGGAGTCAAGAAACCTGGATGGAATTTTTGCTTGACGGTTTTAGTTTTTTTCAGATAGAGTCTCAGTATGTATACCAGGCTGGCTTAGAACTTTCAACCCTCCTGCCTTGATCTCCTGAGTGCTGAGATTATAGGCGATAGTGGCCTGCTGGTAGCTCTGGCCAAACAAATCACTTCTATGGCTTAAGGATTGGATTTGTATTTTCCCTTCTCTTCCTTGAAGCTAGGTGATTTTGTAACTTTACCCAGTTACTGATATTAGAGGGAGAACATTTTACTTAATCCTGGTGAGGCAGTCATTAACAAACCGACTTCTAAATTATGACGCTAACTTAAATGTCTGAAGCAAACCCATTTTATTCGTCCATGACAAAACCAGGAATCAAACTCAGCTCTCCCATTCCCATAACTATGGCTTACAAGAAAATCAACTATCTCAGAATATTAATTCCTGTCACAAAGAAAGCAGTGCATCAGTCTCTCTGATTTTGAAAGTCAAAATCAAAATCAAGTAGAGAAGGCATAGAGAGAATAACATCTTTCCCAATAACACATTCCCTAATTTAAACCTTTACAAAGGATCACAAACAACAGCACACCACAACAGTGAGGTAAAAAATAGTATGTCAAAGGATTCAGAAAGCAAAGATTCTTGAGAATACATCCTTTAAAAACATCTAACTGAATCCCAACATATATGGGTCATGTTTTATAAATCAAAAGCAATGCACTAAAAAGAATGGATAATGAATGTGTCTGACAGAAGAGTCACTCTAAGTGTTGCTAGATTTAGCAAACAAAAAAGAACATCCAGCGAAAACTGAGTTTCAGGTAAACAATGAATAACTTTTTAATGTAAGTGGTATGCAAAAGTCAAATTTAACTGGGAATATTCTATTTTTTTCTGGCCATCCCAGTCATTCCACATTGTTTTTTCTAACTAAAATTACTGGTGAAAAGACAATGAAGGAAAGATAAAATCTATGCAGCACACTAATGGGTTGTAGGCTATCAAATTACTAATTTTAATACTGAAACAGCACAGAGGATGACTGCCCTATAGTCTTGCACATAATTGGACCTTTTTGAAAGTTCTTAGATTAATAATCTGTTGAAAAACTAGAAGCAAAACTAGAGCATAAAATCCTCTCTAGAATCAAGCTCTTTTATTTTGCTCTCAAAACTATGCACATAATATGTTTCACAAGAGAGAAGAAATCAACTGTGATTCTTATAAAAGGCTAAGTTATTACTTGCTAAAATTTGGGATTACAATGGTCCAAGAGGCTGTTTTCAGCAGTGAGTCCTGGATTCTTTGCATTTGCTTCTTCCTTTGAGTTTCAATTTCATCCTAGATAAAAAGAGGAAATGCCAAAAGTTCCAATCTCTTTGTGAAGTGTAATGTAGTATCTTTAGCAGGTTATAAAGTCAAGAATCCCAAATCAGCAAGCAGAGGATAATCTAGTTCCAGGAGATGAAATGCTGAACCATCACAACTTCTCTGAGGTCAAGTCCATCCATGGCAACAGTGGCTTTGGTATCAACATCCCATGAAGACCTCACAGCAGCTCACATTATCAACAGTCCACGAGGTGGTTCTTGGGTAAGACCATTCAAATTCTTTTTGCCTCTCAACTTCCTCATTTTAAAAAGGAATCTCCTGATTCCTTTACTCACAACAAACACAAATTAAAAAAAAAATGAATATGGAAGCACTTCAAATCTCCCCTCCCTAAAAGTCAAAATCAAATATTAGCAGAGAAGGCAAAAGAAAGTAAGCTCACTACAATGAGATTTTGCTATTTCCCACACCCTTTGTGCCTGTTCCCATGGAGATGAATGCCTGGGGTACAGAGCAGTGGCTGTATAGCTCCTCTTAAAGTTCAACTACAGGGATCAGAAAAAGGATGACAGTATTGGGTGTGGTGATCCATATCTATAATTCTAGCTACTAGGGAGGCAGGAGGATCACAAGACCCCATCTCAAAAACAATACAAACAAATGGACTGAGGGTATGGCTCAAGTAATAAAGCACTTGTGTTGCATGTGTGAGGCCCTATGTTTAATCCCAGTACAGGGAAAAAGAAAAGTGAAAAGGCTGTGTCTGGTACATGCCCACATGCAGGGGAACCAACTGGGTGGCCCAGGCTAGCTGCATGCACCAAGAGCATTCAATGTCCTCTGCCAGAGCAGATACCTCAGAATGCCATCCTTTGCAGACTTCCTCTAAATTTTCTTCTAAAAAAGGAGTATAAATTGCATCATTGCCATCTGAGTAAAAACAATGAAAAAGAAACAAGTTCCTCTGAGGTAATTTTTATTCTTTGCCACAAGCACTAATAATTTAGGGTACAACTTTCACATACAGGCATCCTCGCTAACTGCCTTGCAAACCTGGAACCCCTCAGAAAGCATAGGGCATTGACACTGTCAGCTGATTTAACTTTCACAAGCTGCTAATGAAAGACAAGCCAGAAAGCCTTGGCCAAGTGAATGCAATGAAAACTGAAGCCAAGAATTTATAATCAATGACAAGACCCTGACGTTTAACATCCCATCCCAATGGCTCCCTCTTCTCATCCAAATCTGTTTCATTATCCTCCACTCACTTACTTCCTACCTTACTTTATTACACCAAAACATTCTTACCACATAAATGAGCTGTATTATGTATCCGTTTTCAGTGAGTAAATTCAGTTTTGTATTTCAACTTTTACAATACGACTTAAAACATCTGGAGATACCATAAAGGGCACCAGAATTAATGTCAGTAATGATTTCTCTCAGGCCACACTAATGTGAATACCACCTGTGGCTTCAAACTTGTATATACTACAGGTGATGCTCCGGCTTAGTAAGGAACATGTCCTACACTGAGCTCACAAAGCACCTGCAGGACAAGATCTAATCAGATGGGAGGGAAAAACCAAACAAAAGTTGTCACAAACAGACCATGACTTCTTAACATAAAGGTTTCTGAATCTTAAATCTCAAAATCTTTTGAAATATGACTCCAATAAGAAATGTGTTATCCTAGTATTTCTACTCTAGGGAAGACATGTGCAGCTTAAATTGCACATTGGGATGTTTAACACATTTTGGTTTCAGGAGACTTCTTCACAGCTCTAACAACACTGCCCTTCAAGATGCTGTGACAATGTGGGTTGAGAACCCGGAAAACATCCACCACTAGCCTGGCTCCCCAGCAGCTGTGTGTACCAGCATTGGCCACTTTTGGCCTTTAGTAGACAGAGGATGGATCAATTCACCTGTGACATTCCCCAAAGGAATTCTGGGGAGGGGGATCAGCAGTTTATTTTATCAAAATGTCACATGTGGCAGAAATGAAATCCTGTATGTTTCATTCTACACAACACATGTGTTCCCACTTTTAAAAGGGGAAAGTGTTATATTCTCATAAAAAGTGTTGTATTCTTAAAATGATAGACTCAACTAATTATTAAATCCAATTGTGCCAAGCTAGTAATACATTTTTTGGCTATTTAAATAGGTTTGAGTTTTGCAAGTTGAATATGCTTATCTTGTAATCTCTAAACATTTTTTGAATTAATGAATAAGATTCTTTGAAAAGAGTAAAATGTTACTATGCAGTTCCATGTAGCAGTAACTTTACTTTCTACCAAAGTCAAACTGCTCTCTCATCTTACAAAAGGAGTTTTGAGAAACGCAGAAATGTCTTCATATTCAATGTTCCTGATGTCTTGACAGGGAAAATAATTAAAATATTTTGTCCAGGTTTTGTAGAATATTTCTTGGCCTATAAGAAAGTAAAGAAAAACTTATAAGGCTCAGTAAAATTGGGATATAAACCTAATAACCCTCATGAGTTAAATAATTAGATGAAACCTACTTATGACACAACTGGTTTAATGCATCTTGCATATTTGCCTAAAATAATGTATCAAAGGATAAAAATTCAGGGGGAAGAGATGGCCCAAACAATATATACACATATGAATAAATGAATAAACAATTAAAAAATAATAGAAAGCTAAATAGAAAAAACATTGAATGTAGTATATGTTTTAAATTGATTAAATGTTTTTAAATAAAGAGAATTTAGGGCTGGGGGCATGGATCAAGTGGTAGAGTGTGCTGAGTCCAAAAAACTAAAAAATAAAGAGAATTTATTAAATGCACCTAAATAGAATAACTAGATATTAGCATTAGGTGCGTGGGGAGGGTGGGAGGTTGGTTTTTTAAGACAGGCTTTTACTATGTAGCCCAGTCTGGCCTTACACTCTTCCCAAGTGCTAGGATTGCAGGCATGTACCACTATATCCTGGCTCTGCCATTGCCTTTAATTTAAAAGCATCGTTCATCTCAAAGATGGGAGAGGTGGGGGAGAGAGAAAACTATTGCAATGTGTTTTTTCAAAATGAAATAACACCACTTGACTTTCCACACCAATAATTATACCTGAATATAACAGAATTTTCTGAATCCTACATAGAGATTAAGAGTTAAAAATTGAGAAAAATAAATGAAAGAATGTAACTTGTTTTTCCATTACTACTTAGAAAGTAATTCTTTTCAAGATATAGATTTG